GGGCGCGGGTGGGTGGGGAAGGGCGTGGAGCCAGCGGCATGGTGTGCTGAGTTTGGATGGCGGGGATGGGCGGCGGAGGGTTGGATGCGCCTCCCCAGATGTGGTGGTTGAGCACGTCTTGACATTATCGCCAGTCACACAGACGTATCGTCCACGCGCCTACATGAAACAAAACATGTACGACCCCTCACAACTGTGTGTCACACACACAAACACTCACCTGCACGTGTGTCACAAAGTTGCCGTCGCAGTATGTCTCCAGGTTGGTCAAAAACGGCGAGATGCCCCTGTCCAAGACAACCTCGTTCAGCACGACCCGCTCCTCGGACTCCAGGCACACGCCCGCCGGACACTCGGCCCCCTCCGCAAACGCCGCCAGCGCCGCCGGCAGCGCCGGGCAGCGCCCGCCGTGCTGCGGTGGCGGCCCTGGGGTGGGACCGGGCGCCTCGCCGGCGCCGGCGCCGGGGGCGCCGCTGCTGCCGGGGCGCGCGCCGCGTCCCTCCGGGGCCTGGGGCAGTACGCTGGAGCGCACCAGGGTGCAGTGCAGCCGGTGGCGCAGCTGGATCGGGAAGCCGCCTGCATTTCAAACGGGGCCGGCAGGGGGTTGGCCAGGGCGGGGCAGGTCGGGGCGAATCGAGCCGGCAAGCCAGTGGATGATGGGATGCGTCGAGGGGCTAGCGTGATGCTTTCACGTGCTCACGGCATCTGGTTGCATTGAGAACGCAGGCTGGCGGCCTCCGAAACACACCGAACACGATGGATGCGCCCGCACGTTGCGCCCGCCGCACCCTCAAAGCAACCAGCCGCGCGGCGCGGCGCCCCGGCCCGCCCCGCCTCGCTCACCCCTCACGACGCGCCCGAGCACGTGCCGCGCCGCCGCGGGGTCGAACGGCGTGAGGAAGCCCAGGCTGCCCAGGTTGAACGGCACCAGCGGCGGCATGCTGCGGTTGCCGAAGATGTGGCACGTCCACAGCACGGTGCCGTCGCCGCCAAACACGACCACGAAGTCGAGGGTGTTGGACAGCCACTCTGGCAGGTAGTCCCCGGGCGCCCCCGGCTCGACCGACCAGGTGCGCAGCTCGCCCGGCGGGCGGTCCTGGTGGCGGCCAGCGGCGCCGGGGGCGGCGGGTGCAAAGGTGACGGTGGGCGCGCCTGGCTTGGGCGGCTGCTGTTGCTCCTGCTCCTGCTGCTCCTGCTCCTGCTGCTGCTGCTGCTGCTGCTCCTCTTGCTGCAGCTGCTTCTGGTGCGCGGTCATGTCTGAGTAGACCGCCGGCTCCACGTACACGTTGATGTGGCGCTCCCTTGGGTGACATGGGGCAGGTGGGGGAGCGGCAGCACGGGTGGGGGGCAAATGATGGGGCGAAGCTTGTGAAAACGGGGGCGCGTTGCCGCACGCAAAGGGGTTGCGATTTCCACTGACCACGGAGCCAGCGCAGCACGTCAACCACAGCCACAGCCAACAATCAACCCATGAAAGCTTCTGCTGGGGGTGGCGCGGCCTAACCCTGGGTTTTTTGGAGCCCCGTATTGTAGCCCCCACAAAGGAGCTCACGTCAGCCAGTCCACCGCGGACTTGAACGCGCCCTCCGTTGACGTGGCCAGCTTCCGCATGACCAAGACGTTCCGCGGGCGGCTCAGCCAGTGCAGGGCTATGTGGGAACCCGACGATGTTGCCGGAGGGCTGCCCGGCGCCTGCTGCTGCTGCTGCTGCTGTTGCTGTTGCTGCTGCTGCTGCTGCTGCTGCTGCTGCAGCGACGCCGCCGAAGCGGCCATCGCGGCGGCCGCCACAGCGGTGCCCGAAGAAGGGTCCGTGGCGGCGGCCGCGGAGGCAGCGGCGCCGCCGCCGCCATCCGCAAGCAGCGCCGCCGTCGCCGTCGTCGCGGCGCCCCCGTTGCCGCCGCGCGCGCCAGGCGCCGACGGGCCCGCCGGCGGCAGCGCCGACGGGCGCGAGCCGAGGGGGGAAGGGCCGGCGCCGCCAAACGCCGATCCGGATCCCTCTGAGAAGAGCATGCTCAGCCCCCCTGGGGCCCCCGTCGTCAACGCGGGCAGCAGCGGCGCCGCGTCGTCCTTGCCCCCCAGAGCGAGCAGCGTCGCGCCGTTCACCTGCGGCGCGCCGAGGCTGCCGTTGGCGCCGGGGCCGCCCGCCTCGGCAGCTGCCAAGAGCGACGCCGATGAGTTGTAGGGGCTGCCGCCTTCCAATAAAGAGTCTTGGCTGGGAGAAGCGCTGATAGACAGGTTGGCCTGCGACTGGCGGCGCTTGCCTGCGCGGGCGGGCGGCGGGCGGCAGGTGCGTGCGGGCAGGGTGGCCGGAGACGTGGCTGCATGGTGTGGGAGAGCAGTGTCCGCGCGCTCGCAAAGTCATGGGTAGATGCGTGCGTCTGTGTGTGAGTTTGCGTGCGCATGCGTGCACCCATGCATGCGTGTGTGTGCAAGTGTGTGTATTGCGCACACGGGTGGGTCCATGTTTGTGTGCCGGGCCGTCCAATAATCGGTGTCAAAGCAATAGTAAGCAGCTGACCCTCACGGTCACAAGACTTGACAGCCGTCATCTTTAAAAAAACTGCACAGCGCGACTCACCCATCTTGTTGGTCGCCGTGGCCACCAGCCTGAACCCCGCCTTGCCACCCCCCACCCCTGCCGCCGCACCGCCGCTGCTGCTGGCCGCCCCGTTTGCATCCCGCTGCTCCTTCGACGCCGCCCGCGCCCACGCCCGCGCCATCGCCGCCGCGGCCGCCGCTGCCGCGGCCAGGCCGACGCCGCTGCTGCCCTGGTCGTCATCGATGGATATGGATGACAGGGGCTCCTCCGCATCATCCTGAACATCTGTCATGATGAGGCGCAGGAAGAGGTGACACGTGTGTGCGTTTTTTTGCGCGCGCGGGTGTGTGTCTGTATGTGTTTGTGTGTGTCTGTATGTGTTCGTGTGTGTCTGTATGTGTTTGTGTGTGTCTGTATGTGTGTATGTGTGGCTGTGTGTGGCTGTATGTCGGGCAGGTGATCAGAAAGCCACAGCCACACGGGCGCCGTGCCCGGCCCGAGCCTTCGGCCACGCGAGCTGCCTGCCCCGGCGGCACCCGATGCGACGGAAGGCCAGCGGGCCCACGCAGCGGCGGCGGCCGCTGGAGCAGAGCCGTCGCTCCCGCACGTCCTCCGCCCGCCACTCGCAAGCCGTCCTTCCCCCTCTCAGCCGTGTGGCGGCCCCGTGCTCGCACCGCGCACCCGCCACGCCCTGGGCCACTGTGTAGGCCATCATCATGGACATAAGGCTCTCAATGGTCTGCCGCCGCCTCCTCGGGCTGTCCATGGACCCTAGGGCACTCGCCAGGCTGCCCGCCATGCTGCCGACCCGCAGCGCCGACGCCGCCGACACCCTCGGCGGCGTACACGCCCGCTGCAGCCCCCCGAGCACCGGCGCCGACCCCTGCGGCGACAGCAGCGGCGGCGGCGCGGCGCCGCGGCCGACCGCGCCGTCGTGGCTGTTGCTGCCGCCGGCCCCGGCGGCGCGCGGCGCCTCGTCGGCGCAGCTGTCGGCGCTGCCGGCGCTCGCGAGCTCCAGGCTGCCCGTGCGGTTGCGCCGGAAGGGGGTCGCAGAGTATGACGAGCGGAGCGCGCAGCCGCCGCCGCCCCCGCCGCTGCCGCTGCCGCGGGCGGCGCAGGGGCCGAGAGAGGGGCACAGGCCTGCGGCGGCGGGCGGCGCCTGCAGGACTGCCAACACCTTGCGCAGCCGCTCGTTGCGCGCCTTCTCCTCGTCGTACCTGCCAGGCGGCAGTTAGCAACTGGTTAGTCAAGGCGACACGTCTGGCGCGGCCGCACGCCCCCCATGCCGGCGAGTGCGACAAAACGGGCCGCGCCGCGGCGGGCGCGTGCTGCTGCGCCAGCGCGGGGCGGGGTCGCGCGCCGATGGCATGGGGATGGGACGGACGCTGTGCTAGCGCTCACTTGCGGCGGAAGGTGTCCGCCTCCCCGCGCCAGTACTCTGCATCCGCCGCTGCCTGCTGCAGGTCGGCTTGGACCTCCTGGACCATGGCGCCCAGGCCTGCGGCGGGGCCGAGGGCAGCGTAGAATGGGAGGGGCCGTCACCGTTGCCGCGCGCGTGGGCGGCGGTGCACGCGCGCAGGGACTGGGGTCGCGAGGGTCGTCTCCGGCAGCTGCGCGGCGCATACTGGGCGAGTGCTCACCCTCTAGGGCCTGGGTGTAACGCTGCTGCATGGGCTGGGGGTGCTCCCTCGCTCGCATACTAGGAAGGCCGCGAGGGCGTCGCTGCGTGCTGTGATGAGCGCCGCTTCTGCTGCACCGCCCCGCGGCGCCACCTGCTGCTGGCGGATCACTCGCGGCAGCCGGAAGCTATCAACGCGGGGCTGACGGGCCCTTTGAACCGAGCCATTGGCTAAGATGGGGAGAGTGCCACCTCGGCTGTTCCAAGCTGGATGGGCTATGACCACGCTGCTCAGGTCGGTTGCATGGTGCTTGTTGTTACTGCACGACTTCAGAAAGCAATTGTTGCACGCGTTCGAACCGTTTGCATACCGCGAGGGCTCGTCATAAACTGTGATCACCCGCCACAGTGTCACTCGTCATCTGCAACGCACGGCATGGCAGAGGAGCTGCCTTCAGTATTGATACTGGGTGCTGCGCAAGTTGGCAAGCGCACCTTGACGCAGCGGCTGCTGCAGGCGGCTGGCAGCAGCGGCCGCGGCGGCGACACGAATGCTGCGCCGACAGACAGCACGGATTATGCGCCCTGCGCTGGTTCTTACCTGCTACACCTGGACACAAAGTATTACACAGCTGATGCATACATCAATATTGTAAACCTGGATGCTTACCAGCAGCAGGAGCAGCAGCAGCAGCAGCAGCAGCAGCAGCAGCAGCGGCAGCAGCAGCAGAAGAATGGGCAGCAGCAGGAGCTCTGCGGGGCAGAGGCGGTGATCTTGGTCTGCGACGCCACAAATCCGTCCACCTTTGCCGCTGCCCGCCGCTGGGCTGCAGCCGTCGACTCCTCCGGCGCGGGGGTGCGGCTGCTTATCGCCAACAAGGCGGACGCGGCGCCGCGGGCGGCGGCGGGCGGCAGCGGCGCTGCGCTCCCCGAGGCTGCGGGGTGGTGCCTAGACGAGGGCTTTGAGTATGTAGAGGCGGCCGCGGGCGCGCCCGCAGCCGACGCCGCTCTCGCGCTGGACGGGGACCGTCAGGGGGTGGTGCGCGTGCTCGAGGCGCTGCAGGCACACATGTGGCCGGGCCTGGCCCTTAAGCCCGCCCCGCCAGGGATCGGCGGCCGGGGCGGGGGCGGCAACGGCGACGGCGCGCGCGCGGCGGCGGCGGTGCAGCAGGCGGCTGAGAATGAGGGAGACGACACACGTGATCAAGAGGCCCACCCGTGCGACCACTGGGCGGCCGCAGGCGCCGCGCCGGCG